AATGCAGGACATGAATGCATTTAACCTGCAGTTACAAATGCATAAATAATTTGATATATTAAACATAAACAATTGAATACTGATATTTGAGATGATTTAAAAAATGAAAAGATACTGGCACTAGACTTCACATAATGCATGCACTCTGTAGGTGTTTTGAATGGGTTTTTTTTTTGCGTTGTGGGAATATTGAGCAAAATAGCTTACTTGTCATGGTGTTACTTAAAGGTCCCCTGAAATGCTTAGAAACATGCAGCGTTACTCTGTGTTGACGTCATTTTAACTGAAGCAGGAAGACAGGGCGGGACCAATCAAGCAGCCTCACCCCTTTTTAAAATAGCCAATAGCGTTCGTTTATATCACAGCTTGGGCTAGAGCTGTTGAGCTCCGTAAAGCCGCATTTGACAGGGTATGCCAGCCACACTCTCATCCATATTGCTATAAAATATAGCATTCTGTGTAGAATTCAAATAGCTCCGATACATTTTGTGGTCTGCGCCGACTCGCGCCGATCCGCTCCGTGCTATCGTGTCTCTGAACCGGAGCAGAGTGTGTGTGCAGTTCTGTTTATTAACCGCTAGAGCGCCAAAAGTTACATAGTGCTGCTTTAAATTCATATAGATTCAGTACATCTTAACTAAAAACTCCATGTAAATACCACATTATGAATAGAGCGAAACACACTTCTGAAAAGAAATCTAGATATACATTCACAAACAATAACTATAACAACTCCACTGTTCTGGCTTTAGCTCTGGCAGCTTTCTTTGCCTCCCTCCATTTGTTTTTCATTTGAGCAGGTTTTCCTCTCTCAGTGAGGTCATTAATACCCATCTTCTTCCCTGTATCTCTATTTTTCCTCCATATCTCCCTTTCTTTCTTAAGGTATGCTTCTCTTCGTTCGGGGTTTGCATCCCAATGTTTTCTGTATTGCCGTGTAATTTCTGCTGCATTCAGAGGCATGTCCTGAGAAAGAGCAATGATTTGATGTTTTTATAAGTTACAAAATATTATCTACAGCAGATCTTTCTATAAATTACAATATTACATTTCTATAAATTGCAATATTATCTGCAAAAGAATGCTGTGTCCAGGGGCGTAAATTTAGTCTAATAGTTGGGGGGGGACAATAGACATAAAATTTCTCAAGAGCAATTTTTGAAGGGGACACAAATAATTCAGCTAAAATTGTACTTGTAAGTATATTTATATACAGAGGAAAGCCTTACTACTATTAGTGTAGCAGGGAGACCGTGCCAAATTAGACAACTTCAAGCTGTTGTCGCGCCGCAAAAGCGCTTGTGTCCGTTGTAGACATGACTATTCTTCACAGTGTTGCCAAGTCCGCGGTTTTCACGTGGAATTGGGCTACTTTATCACTGTTGCCGCGGGTTGTTTTTCATGTCCGCGGGTTGAAGTGACCCCAGTAACGCGTATTTTAGTCCATGGAGCGCGATTTTTACCGGGGGACCCCCTCGAAACGTGGTTAGTTTGGGCTAGTTTTGAGTAGCAATTGGGCAGGTTTTGTTGTGAAAACCTGGCAACCCTTTCCATCAAGCAGGTGACGTTATTGTTGCTAACAGCGGATTCATCGAAAAATACATCATAAAGAGAAAATAATCACTTCATCTGATGTTTAAGTGAATAAAATAGACAGCCTTACTTACTGGAGTTCCACAATATTAACTTTGTTCTCTCTCACCAGACTTGTGTGCAGGTGATGTAAAAGAGGAAAGCAGGCATTTGGACCAAAGCACTGTGAGGCAAGGGAGGGGTAGACTCAAAATGTTTCTAAACTTAAAACACATTTTTGCCCCTTTTGTGTTGTTTTACTACTTTCACGATTATTTAAAGTATAAAACATTGTTATTTACAATACACAGCGTGGTTTTTAATCATATTTTAAGAGGGTACAATCCTCAGATGGGGGGTCCCGACCCCCCCGGGATTTCCGCCTATGGCTGTGTCCACCCTGTCATGTCTAAGTGGCCGACAGGGTGGACATTTTGAGCTTCAATTAGCATATTAGCTTACAACAAAGTGTGATTAGCTAAATAGTTAGTCTGGTTGTTGAAGAGAATTTGGTATATTTAAACTTACATATTTTGAAAATACTGTATTCTAATCACTTCTGGCATATTTTATGGCGACAGGGTGGACATGTTAAGCTTTGGCAAATCAAGTAAGCAAACTCATACGAAGAAAATTTGTCAGTTGAAAAGTTAGCAACTTACTCACCTCTGCTGCTGAAATTCCCGCCACTGAAGAGACAAAAAATCTGTTGTCTTGATGTCACTAAAGTGGATGGCCTTTTCTTAAAGGGGCGGATTCCCCAATACGACAGGGTGGACAACCATTCAAGGGACATAGACAAACTCTTCTTTTTTAATAAATAAAAATATTGTTTTTATTACCAAATGATCAATACACTCAAATTGAGTTTAACAAAAATTTAGCAAAATATTAATAGAGAACAACATTTTTTTCATTTTATGATTTGACTATATCAGGGTTGTCCAATCCTGCTCCTGGAGGGCCACTGTCCTGCAGAGTTTAGCTCAAACACCAATAAAACACACCTTAACCAGCAAATCAAGGTCTTACTAGGCATACTAGAAAGATCCAGGCAGGTGTGTTGAGGCAAGTTGGAGCTAAAGTCTGTAGGACAGTGGCCCTCCAGGACCGAGTTTGGACAGCCCTGGACTATATTCTACTCTCATTCAAATTTAACGAGCAGTGCATGGGATATAGCAAAATAACAAGCATCCTCTAGAAAAAATCTAGAAATTGTATCTAAAGAGCCAAATAATGCTTTTGTTATGAATCTAACAACTTAGCCTAATATAACACACCCTTTCATAGTCATTTTTATGTTGTTATTATGGCAAATTAGTTATGTACAGGACACCAAAAGGCACCCTACAGTGATATTGACCCAGAAAACATTGTAGAATCATCAGCATACATAACTATATTTGCCTTATCAACAACATATGGTAAATCATTTATAAAGATAGAGAACAGTAATGGACCTAAACAACTCCCTTGTGGAACACCACAATAGGTATTTTTAGCCTCTGAGAAAGAACCATTATAAAACACTGTCTGTCTTCTATAATTATTTTTGTTGTAGAAATAGAGCAAAAACAGGCAATATGGTGTCTAAAATGCAAGTCTCTTAATTAACTTCTTGTTTATTGAACTGTTGTAAAAAAAAAAAAAAAATCAATATTACATTTGTAGGCTATATGGTAATTTTTGGAGAAAAAAAGGCACTCTTCCGTGTGAAATTGATTAACTATAAGAAGTGGTATAAATATACACATTTTCTGCCCCATGTCTTGAATTTGTGATCATTCTGAATGTATTTTAATAGACTGAATCATGCAGTGAAAGAGGG